AGTGCCTTTTAACATTTCCTGTAGGGCTGGTTTAGTGGTCATGAATTCCTTTAACCTTGCTTGTCTGGGAAACTCTTTATCTCTTCCTGAATGATAGCCTTGCTGAATAAAGTATTCTTGCCTGCAGATTTTTCCCATTCAGCACTTTGAATATATTATGCCACTTTCTTCTGGCCTGCAGAGTTTCTGCTGAAATATATCCACTGATAGCCTTATGGGGTTTCCCTTGTATATAACTGTTTTATTTTCTCTTGTTACTTTTAAGATTCTCTCTTTATCACTACTTTTTACCATTTTAATTACTTATTATGTGTCTTGGTCTGCGCTTCCTTGTGTTGATTTTGTCAGGGGCTCTCTGTGCCTCTTGGATCTGGATTCTTTTCCCTAGATTCAGGAAGTTGTCAGCTATTATTTTTTTAAATAAATATTCTGCCCCCTTTTCCCTCTCTTCTCCTTCTGGGATCTTTATAATGTGACTGTTATTATGCCTGATGCTGACACTGAGTTCCCGAAGTCTATTTTCCTTCTGTATTATCTTTTTCCTCTCTCCTATTCAGCCTGATTGCTTTCCATTACTCTGTTCTCCAGGTCACTGATCTGTTCTTCTGCTTCCTCTAGTCTACTATTTATTTCCTCTCGTATTTTTAAACATTTCAGTTATTGAGTTCTTCGTTTAAATTTGGGTGGGAAAGAAAAAAGAGAGAGATCCCTGAGGCAATTTGGGAGAAGGAATAAGGATCTATAGGGTTTTAGTTTTTGGTTTATATACACCACTCTCCTCTGCTATTGTGCAAAGTAGATGGAAACACTGTGATACTGATCTCAAGCTGCTGAAAACAGTGTGCCCACCCACATGGACCCTGATATGAAAGACAGGCACATCTGGTCTGGTTCCCTGTAGCCAGGCCTTGCAGTTCTCACACCTGGCCTCATGCAAGCACAGAAGCTGAGGCATAAGGTGATTAATAATTCATGCAATTGATTCCAGGCTAGCTTTACTCCAACGTTATCCCTGGCGGGATGACTGCATACTCCCAAGAGACTCACCTTTTCCTCTTAAGGATCTAACAATTCAGTTTTCTGGAGGCCAGGCAACAAGGGAGGGATGGAACAGTAGGCTCCAACCAGTCACAGATTGTGCATTTCAAAAGTTGGAGCAAGATTCTCAAAGTTGGATTGGCTTTTCTGCATTTCTAAAATCATTTAAATCCTAGCAGTGTCATCATCTGATACTTGAAAACCCTGAATACATCCAAAAATCCTACTTGGTGCAAAGAGAAAAATTTCTAAATGAAGCCAATTTTTAGACAGGACAGGATGAGAGAGAATCCTAGGGCCTGAGGCCATGAGGTACCATGGCTGTCTTATCATTAATACCCTAAATATTTCCATGTCATATATTACCATGTCTCTTTATCTCCATAGACCAAGTTCTCCACACAGAAAATGGTGGGTTTTTTTCAGGACAAAGTTCCTGTTGCTCCCTCTTTACTGCAATTCCCTCCTCCGTAAGTGTCCAGGACCCTAACTTCTGCCCTCAGACCCACCTGGCAATGTACTTCAGTAACTTCATGTTCCCTTTTAGAACGAGGCTGGGTAGGAATACACACACATATATATCTTCCCTGCTGGTTTTGGTCTTTGGGAATATGATTGCATAAGATTTTTAGGAATTTGAACAGGCTCACTCAAATGAATCTGTTAAGAGCTGCTTAGATGACTACACTTATTCTTGGAACATCTGAACTTTATCGTTCTTCCAAGCTAAAAGAAAGATTTTCTAATGGTGGTATTTTAGGTGTTAGAAACAAATAAGAGGGGCGCCTGGGTGGCTCAGTTGGTTAAGCGACTGCCTTCGGCTCAGGTCATGATCCTGGAGTCCCTGGATCGAGTCCCGCATCGGGCTCCCTGCTTGGCAGGGAGTCTGCTTCTCCCTCTGACCCTCCCCCCTCTCATGTGCTTTCTCTCTCATTCTCTCTCTCTCAAATAAAGGAATAAAATCTTTAAAAAAAAAAAAGAAAAGAAAAGAAACAAATAAGAGGAGCATTATTTCTCAGTAAAGGAGGCTGACTGACATTTATAGGTGATATGGTCAGGCTGATTTTAAATGAAATAGAATAATGAAATCAAGAATATCAGAGCAGAAGGGAGGTAAACCTGTGCAAGGATGTTCTTGTTGAGGACAGAAAAGAGACCGAGAGAAATGAAATGACTTGCCAAGCTTCAACAGAGGCATTATTTGCCCTCCATTATTATTTCTGCCCTTTTCTCTTGCTATGTAACCAGCTGAATCCAGACTACATGCTCCAGCCTCCCTTGCAGCTAGGTATGGTCATATGCAGCTTGGTTCTATGTAGCCAAACAGATATGAATAGTAGGTTGTGTTTGACTATCTGGAAGAGTTCTTCCTTCCTTTCACCTTCCTGCTGGTTGAAATACTGACTTGATGGGTAGAGATAAGTAGCCACCTTGGACCATGACTCACAAGTTACGTGTTCTCTGGTGTGCTCAAGGATGGGTCCCTGAAACATAGATTTCTAGACTGACTGCTTCTTAGACTTCTTTAAGTGTGAGAGAAAGAAATGACAGTCTTTGTTTAAGCCACTATTGTGTTGAATTTTTGTGTTACTCTCAACCATATCTAATCTAAACTGCTAGATCAGTAGTCTGGAAAAGTTGTAATTGATTCACATGGCTTGATGGAGGAAGGCAGCAAGAGTGATGGACAAGACCTGATTCTAAGTCTAAGATAGAAAATGCTTTAAATACTTTACATCAAGGGATCTTAATACTAATCCACCAACAGCTACATCAGAATTACCTGGCACAGTGGGGCGCCTGGGTGGCTCAGTTGGTTAAGCGTCTGCTTTCGGCACAGGTCATGATCCCAGGGTCCTGGGATCGAGCCCTGCATCAGGCTCCCTGCTCTGCAGGAAGCCTGCTTCTCCCTCCCCCATTCCCCCTGCTTGTGTTCCCTCTCTTGCTGTCTCTCTCTCTCTCTCTCTCTCTCTCTGTAAAATAAATAAATAAATAAATCTAAAAAAAAAAAAAAAAAAATTACCTGGCACAGGGTCCTACAAATCCAGATTCCTGGGTCCCTTTCCTGGAGATTCTAATTTAATAGATTTCCTATGAGTCTCATGAACTTATATTATTTAAAAATCTCCCCATGTAATCCTGACATTCAGGTACATTTGGAAGACATTTGATCTAGAATTGTTCTTTACTAGGGAGGTGAGTCAGAACCACCAGAGAAAATTTTTCCCCCTCAAACATAGATGCCTTCATGGACACATGAAAATGAGAGACTGGGGGGAGAGTGAGGTGCAAATATTTTGATACTCTGAATTCTGAAATAAGTGATTCCTTAGGCTCTTTGGATCCCCTCTCCTTCCCCCTGCACCCAACCAGAGTCATGCAAATGTCACCCTAACGGGCCACTCTCTATCAGGTTAAACTTAGTTCAGGTAAACTTCAATGATATAATTATTTATATGTGCCTGATGTTTTGCTTTTTTTTTTTTTAACAGATTACATTTTCTGTGGGAAGTTTATTCACTTCCAGTGTGCATTACAACACATTACTGAATCATAAGTGTATTTGTGATTAAAAGAACTATTATTAACAAGCAGGAAGAGTTCACTTTTTCAAGATTCCAGGGCCTCATACATCAGAGGTTGAATTTTTGGTACCTACAAAATGCAAGGTCAGCAGATTCAGTCAAACAGCTGTCAGCTGAAGTTGTTCTAAAAGCACTTGGGCACACCAGCAGGTTCTCCTGGCAATAAAGGTGACAGGCATGGCAAAGTGTTACCAGAAGGCAGATCGTGGCAGGTGTGAGACATTCTCAACAGCAGTGGATAGAATGGGATTATATTAAGCAGCATGTCCACACCAAAGTAATCCTTTTACAAGATTCCGCCCCTCCCCCCATGTTGACAGTTACAGGCTGCTTGGCAGCTCTGGTCTCCCACCTTCTGGGAAGCTAGAGAAACGCCTTCCACCAGAAGGAAGCCTCCATTCACCAGGCCATTGGCAAATCTCAGCAGAAATAAAATAAAACAGAACCAAAGATCTATTCTAAGACAAATTTGCAAAGAGTGCCAAGAAGAGCAAAGACCTAACTCCAGCTGGGTCACCAACTAACCCAGTCTCAGTCTGGGTAAGCCACTCAACTTTTCTAGTTTTTAGAATCAAGGGGTTGAACTTGATGAACTGTGAACTCCCTTTTAAGAGCCGTACAATTTTATATTTATCTTATAGGAAACTGCATTATACATAAGTGGGTGAAAGTAAAAGCTTCCTTCTATCAATTTTATATTTGCTTTTATTTTGAAAAGATAAAAATCCTAAATCACAATGTAAAATCATCAGACACATGCACGCATGCACACCCTTTAGAACCTGAATTTCTGGAAATGGTTTCTTGGTTGCCTAACCCCACAAACTGATGGCATTCTGCTGTTCCTGCCAAAAGATTCTATTATGCAAATATTTAGGCTAGACCTTTTAAGCACGCATGAACGTTTATTTCACTCTTCCAAGTAACATCATCCAGGGGGCTCAAATGATACTGAATCTAGGCATTTATTGACAGCATAGCTATGATCTTATTAATAGGTATGTCTAAGACCTAACCCTATGCTTCCTGATGGTTTCCTCAGTTGAGCAAAACTGCAACCAGAAATGAGACACAACGCTTTTATTGGTTATTGTTATTACAAAGTGGTCTTGAATCTGTCATAGTGCTCCCTCCATTTTAATCCTTCCCCTTCCTCAGGTGACACTTGGCCTGCAATGAGATCCTTACTTCCTGAACCTTCCACCTAGCCCTGCTATAATGCACCCTTGATCCAAAGGCCAGTGTCCATGCAAAAGTTTTTAAAAGAGAAAATGGGAACTCTCAGAAGTTCCAGGACAAATTTGGAGGTCAGAGAGCCCCAGTGGATAAAGCACCAATGGAATTTAGGGAAATGGACAGAAAAAAAGCCAAACTTACTTCATCCACATGCCCCACAGCTCCATAGATTCTTGCCATTTGTCCGATGAGGTAGGGGAATCTCTCACCAATCTCTTTCAGCATTGGAAGAAAACTGTTCAAAGCCACAGGTTCATAGCCTGCTATCTCTGTGAGGATGTTTAGGATGACATCATTATGGGTTGAGTCTTTCAGATGCCCAATTAGGAAAGGAATACACTTCTGAGCCACCTACAAAAAGAAAAGAGAGGAGAAGAGAAGAAAGAGAAACAAGGAGGAAAATTAATCAAATCAGAATCAGTCTAATATTTTTTGCATGAAATCTAAAGTCAACACATTCTGGGATTATTGCCCTTGCTGGAACTCAAGCATATCCCCCAAGTCTGGAATTTAAAATTTATAATAAAGTTTCAGAGGATTCAGTTTCTTTTCATCTGTGCTCTGCTATTGAAGAGTAAAGTTTACAAAAATGTTTAGATACCACTAATCATAAATCAAGTTTTGATGTGTTATGTCCTCACCAGGAATATTACATTTCCTCTAACCCACCATGAGAGCTGTAATTTAAAGGGCAATATGATATAAGTATGTCAAAGATCCTTGATGACTTTTAATGAAAGCCTTCAAGTTGGAGAAGTATGCCTTGGAAATATTTAATAATAAAAATAAGAAAGCAAGAAAGAGCTTTTACATTTTCTTCAATTTTCCATTTTGATCACAAAAATGTACTAAGATAAAAAAAATTACCAAAGTAAAACAATTTCTACCATAGTCCTGATACCCTAATGTTGCTTTCTTGACTTGGAATGCTTTTGTGAATACAAAGATGCAATAATTCATATTAAAGAAAATGTGACCTTTTGTGGAATAAAGTCACTATGTTAATACATAGACATGTTGCATGCTGACAATTTAATGACTTGTTTTGTCTGCTAAAATAAAATAATTAGAAAGGATGACCCATGGAAAACTGAACAATAAAGTAAAAACAATTTGCCCATCCATATTTCTACTCTGCTGATTTCTTTTTTGATGTTGGTTTCCTCTTTTGGTTTACTTTTTTTGGTAAGGTCGACCTGAAATGTAGCTTCCAGTATGAAAAGAGAATCTGATACTCAGCTCAACCTGCTAAATTTATAATCCACCCCCTGCCAAAAACCTACTTCTCCCACTTCCCTTTCTAGCCTTAAGTATCCCTTTTCTCCATAAATGGCACCATTATCTGCCTGGCTACTCAAGCCAGAAATCTGGGAGTCACTCTTGACTGCTGTCTCTCCCTTTTCAGCAGCCTCATCCAAGCAACCACCAAGTCTTATTGATTCCACCTCTCAAGTATCCCACAGATCTCTCCACTTCCCTTCGTTTTCATTCATTTCTCCGAGAACTCATCCATTCACAAATATTTATCGAGTCCTCCCTATTAGCAAGGGAGTGTTCTGGTGCCAATGTTACAGCTGCTAATAAATCTGACAGGTTCCTGCCTATGTGGAATACTTCACTGTCTAGTAAAGGAGACATTTGGTAAAACAAATAATTACAAAGGAAAAGTATAATCATAAATTCTAATAAATGCCATACCAGGGAAATACAAGGTAACTGTGAGAGACTGTCCTGGGGCCCTAGTTTAGGCTGGGGTCAGGGAAGTACTCTCTCAGCAGGCACATCTAAGCTGAGACCACTGATCCCATCATCCCAAACTTGCGTTATTCCAACAGCTTTCTAATTATTCTCTGCCTTCAATCTCATCCATTCAATTCCTTTTCTGCTTTGTGGCCACGATGGCGACCCTTCCTCTGCTTAACGTACTTCACTAATTTGCCATTGCTCTCCAGATAGAGGTTTAACATACCTTTTCTGAATGGACTCTTATCCATCTTTCTAGACTTATTTATTCTACCCACCCCATCCAGATTCTATCACATATCATATACAACCTTGTTGATTTAAAAAAAAAATTGTGGACCTGCTAAGTTTTCCCTTCCATCTAGTATTTTACTCATGTGATCCACTCTGCCTACAATTCTTACTGCCCCTATTTTGCTGGACACTCCTCATTCTTGAGGCCTCAGATTAGCTGCTGTTTCCTTTAAAAGCCTTCCTCTACTCCCTCCTCTCCCCACTCAGTCCAATGTCCTGGCTGAGGCCCCTATCATACCCTAAATGGCTCCCAGCAAACCCTTCTCACACTTTCTTCATATTGCTGGTCTAGATGTCTGTTTTGCAGGCTGGATTAAAAACTCTACAAGGTCAAGACTCAATTCTAATTTGTACTCTATTGTATACCCAAAGCCTAGCACAGAGCCTGGCCAGAAGATGAGTCAATAAATATTTGAGGAACAAATCAAAGGAAGACAAGTCTAGATGATTTTATAGGGTAGCATTTGAATAACCTCCGCACTCCTCCCCATAGTGTTGAATAGTTATACATAATGTTTAAACGTACATATTGTCACATGTCATATACAAGACATGTGACATAATAGGGACATAAAAAAGACATTTTGAGATGACTAAAATTATCCTACATATAAATTTAAACTTGATATTCATATCCAGTACTTGTGAAGGAAGGGCCATGGCTAGTTTCCGGTATATGGCACATATGAATGAACAGTTCCATAAATGCTTCCTGTGCATTTGGGAGTGGTTGTATGTCCTTCAGGAGAAAGCACAAGAGATCCCTGGCACATAAAGCAGAAGTGTCAGCCAGCTGCTCTGGGTCAGGGCAGCATACCTAACCTGAGTCTTTTAGGAATGGAAAATGCTTACACATTTCCTGCCCCATTCTATAAAATTCTATTTCCTAGTCCTTACTCTTCATGTCCTATTCCTGGAACATGAAGGTCTCTGTGACATGTGCTTCCAGTCATGCCAGTTTTATTTAAACTCCAGCCATACATCCCAAGCCATGCAAGAGAATATTGTATCCATGTCCCATAAAGGAAAAGACAAAAGAAAAAAACAAGCAAGCAAGCAAGCAAGCAAGCTAGCTGGCACAAGGCGAATATATATGCTTAGGCAGAGTTGAATCCACAGAAGCAAAGAGAAGCCTTGAATAGTATAAACAAAGTAATCTTCCCAATTAAACAAAAGTTGATTATTTTGCAATTTCCTGATAGCCCAAAGCTTATTATGATGGTGATAGAAAGGATAGATATTTCTTGAAGTTAATCACACACATGAAAGGCAAGTGGTGCTTTGGGCTTTAGATAGATTATTCTTGGATAAGAAGGAATTTTATTTTCTAAACCCAGGACATTTCCTTAGGCTGCTCTCTTTCATGCTGCTTCATTGGGAGCTGCTTCATCTCTCAGAGGAAGCCGTGTCATCACTGAGAGCAGAGTAGCCACTAAGACAGCACCCATGGCTGGCGGGGAGCAAGCCGACATGGCCTTTATTCAGGCTGTAAGCCTCATGGCACAGACCTCTGAAAGAGCTTCCCAACTGGCCTCCTGGCCTCAAGTCTCTCTTCCTTTTATTCTGCTGTCATTGTCCTAAAACCCCATTATAATCACGTCAAGACTTCAAAGATTTCTCATGGCCTATGGCAGGAGTCCCAATGCCACGGCATTCATTGACGGCCCTATCTGCTGCCTCTTCCACCATGAACTCTGACCCAGAGACATGCCATCGATCACCCACAGTTGGCTTGAACAGAGAGAATGCTCATGCTTTCAAAGCCCATCTCAAATGGCTCTACTTCTGGGAGGCCTTCCCCATACCCCAATCTAACATATGCAGGACCAGGAGCTAGAGGACAAATAAAGGTCGCCACACTACACACTCAAATACTCAGCAGCTATGCCTCTGCCTGACACATATACCTTTATAACAATCTAGGAGGCCTGATTTGAATTTGGAATTTTTGGCCTGTATAGAGGGAACAGAGAGAAATGACCCCTAGACCCCGTTTCTTGCCCCTCTTTTCTCTTTCTACTCCTGGCTTTGCCCTGCAAGGAGTCTCTCATGCATGTATGTGAATACCCCAGCCCACATATGCAAGCTCATCTGGGATACCCCTCAGGCCTGTGGGGTCACACTGTCGGCATGGCCTGTCCTTGGGAGAACAGATCCAGGGACCAGGCCTGTTGAAGCCCTGGGGGCAGGAAGCAGATACATAGGAAAAGATTCCAAGGTCCCACTTACCTGGACTACATTTAGTAGGTGAAGGAATGCATGGAAACTGGGAGAACACGGAGATGGGGGCCAGACCAGGATCCTCTAAAGTAAGTAGCCCAGGGAAGCCACCTATCTCTGGTTCCTCCACTCCTTCCAGAGCAGAATTAATCACTGCCTTTTTTGTGATCCCAAAGCAGTATGCTGACAGGCTTAGCATCTTGTCATTGACCTGAAGTTTTGTCGATGCATCTCATCACCCCAGGCCATGGGGACCTTGAGGGTAGGGCCATCTGAACAAATAGCACCATAACTTAATTGGCAGCAAATGACACTTCAATTCTTATGCATAGAATAAAAGGTAGAGCTTTTGTGTGTGTGCACACGTGTGTACATGTGTGGTTATGTATGTACTCCCTCTTAAATTAGTCCTCAGGCTCAATTTTCTCTTCTAATTAATTTGGCCAGCATTAACAATCTATTAATCTCCAAAATTCTGTAGTAACTGTCACTCTTCATTTGCTAAGTACTCCTACCATACTGACAAAATATATATTCTTTTTTTAAAATTTTTTTATTTATTCATTCAAGACACAGAGATACAGAGAGAGAGAATATGAGCAGGGGGAGAAGCAGAGGAAGGGGGAGAAGCAGGCCCCCCGCTGAGCAGGGAGCCTGATGAGGGGCTTAATCCCAGGACCCTGGGATCATGACCTGAGCCGAAGGCAGACGCTTAACCATCTGAGCCACCACAGAGCCCCCAAAATATATTTTCTTAAAGCCATGCATCTGCTCCAAAGACCATTGTAGAACAGTCTATATATTCCACCACTCCATCTTCTTAATGTTCTGCAAATGGCTTCTTATTTTAAATAAATACCAAAAGTGACCTCTGAGTATTGTCAGCCAGATGATGCTGGGTTAGGTGCTGTAGGATTAGGTATGTGAATAAGAATGGTCTAAGCTGTTGAGAGAAAATCCAAGAAAATGACTCTCTCCTCTAGGGACCAGACCACAAAAGCAGTTCCTCTGGGTTTGGACATTAACAGAGGGCTGACACTGCTATTTTCTGCCACTCATCCCTGTATGGTTGGGGCTAGAGGCCCAAGTCCTGG